AATTATATAAAATTGGTTTAGTGCCCACCTATGTCCCAAATACTCTGTAACCCTGTGCTGTAATGTGAATCTGGGTTATTTGAAGTGATTTGGTTTTTCTGAGTCCATCTTGGCTTATTGCCTCATTGTCTCTCTTCCCATAACTCTTCATATTTTAAGTTAATTATCTTTTCTTCCTTTTGAAGATGACATGGTAGATTTGGCATCTTTTCAACACTTCCATTTTTTCTGTTGGCCAAATCCTGAATTAGAGTAAAATATAATATTTGTCCTCTCCCTTCCCATTTTTCACTTGTTTTTTTCCCCTGCATGATTTCAGAAGACAGTGTATTACTTTGGATTTCTTTAACTTTGGCTTTTTAAAAGGAAAGGAAAGTAAAGTAAGTAAAGGGTATTTGCTATATAGAATCTATATATAGAATCTATATGTTTGAAATTGAAAAAACCCATAGTGTTAAATTCATGACATAACTTATGTCTCAGAATAACTGGCATTAGGAAAGCTGTCCTTTTTCTCTAAAAAAATTCTGCAAAAGAGCTGACAGTTCTCTTGCTCATCTGTTACATTTTCCTGCAATAAATATAGGTGTAAAAGAGTAAAGCAGAGTAGTGGAGTTTTAGATAGGAGGCTTAACTCTGTGTTTAACAAAGGATTAGGAAAAATAGGAATTTTTTTAAAGATCATATATAAATGCTTTCTCAGGATGTCCACAACTTTTGTGATGTGAACAAGATTTTCATGGTAATAGTCATACCCTCCCAGCAATTAATTTCTCAAGTTGAGTTGCAGAATATGGAGGTAGGATTGAGTGAGTCAGGAAGAGATGCTTCCTCTTGAGTTATTCTTTTTCCTGAAATTCTTGGTCACAACAAGAAGCTTTTAGATAAAGAGTAATCCATCAAAAGTGTCCCTCTCTGTAGCAGGACTAAGGGGAGCAAATTTCTTTCCACAAATCAGAAAAAGTCTCCTAAATAATGGCTGGTCTTTTCACAGAACTGGAACAAGTCTGTTGAAAGCTTCAGTGCCCTGAGGATTTCAGCTTCAGGCAAAATGCAATGGCATGCCTTGCAAAAAAACAGCATTGGATGCTATATTTGTACATATGCTTGCTAAAGAAAATCTAACCTTATTTTCTAGCTTAAAGCCTGTGTTTCCTCTGCAATGACAAACGTCACCTGGGCCAGGTTCTGTCAAGTGCAACTGGAGCCAGGTTTGACACACTGGCTCAAACTAAGTGTTGATGAAGAGCCATTAACTATTTTGTCCTTTCAGCAAAATGTTTGGAAAACGTGAAAATCCCGTAGAGTTGAAATGCGTCAGAGGAGAAAATTGACAAAACCATATTCCAGGGGTACTGGAAGCTGTGATTGCTCCCCTATTCTTCACCTGCAATTAGTTATTCTGAGCATACTGAACTGTGTACATCCAATTAACACATAAATGTTTGAAGTTCCCCTGGAGAGGAATGTCTGCTCAGCAGTTTGGTAAATCATTGGCTCTTCAAATCCTCTAATTACAAAAAAACCCCTTTTCTAATTGTCACCAAGTCAAGATCAATGAACCAATATTTTCTAACAAGATTGCTTACTTTTGATTAAACTGGGGGTGTAAGGAACAAGGAGAAAATACTTTCTGGAGTAATTATTCTCTTTTCATCTTTTGGTACCATGTATTTGGAAATACTGTCCTATGTCATTCCCTGTAGAGGCAGTGAAAGATTTCACTACAAAAATCAATCCTTTAAATCTCAGAAGACCCTGAGGATGCCAACTTGTCTCACCTCTCTCCAAAACCTGTTAAAAAATTCAGTACGTTTTGAGGAGGCTTTTATGATACATCAGCTCTTGGGCTTTCCCATTGTGCACCTTATCCATGGAATTTCTTTTAATGTTCAGTTACATATAATATTGTTTCAGGACTGCATCTGTGATTTTCCTACCTGACAAGAGTTTTCTGAAATGTTGTATAAAATAAAGCCCATGAAAAAACATCAGTGCACCTCCAGTTGTCTTTTTCAGCCATGGCTCACTAAAATGTCCTAATACAGGGCACGGATGCTCTCCTTATAATCCTTGGGAAGCAAAAACCTCGACTATGCCAGAAAAAGTCAGGGTGCAGCAAACCCAAACTATTTGATTTATTCATGGTAAATCACATTAATTCCTCTCAAGGATGATATTTCATGCACAGAATTTGCTTCAGTCTCAGAGCAGAGATCAGCAAAATAAACCCCACAGAAAGATAAATCAATAATCCTCCCCAAACCTAAATGTGGTAACACTTTAAATATTCATGTTCTGATTGCATTTAGCTAAGGGTAAAGAATCTAAACACTGTTGCACAGTATTTTAAGGTTTGGGGGATTTTTTTTCCAAATGTTTTGTCAGAAAAATGTATCAACGTCCAGATATTTTTGAGTGCAGTATCAATATAAAAATACATATTTTTAAAATAAATAGGTATTGCAGGTATTTGAGCATTTGCTGTCACTGCAGTGGAAAATCTGAATATTCTCTCTGATTTCTCTCTGTATAGTAGATGCCTTAAGGTTCATAATTTTAGCATGTATGTTTTGTGTTAGTCCTGTTTGGTTTCTGAACTGCAATGCAAGCAACCCCTCAGAGGAGAAGTAACTGGTGAAGTTGATGAAGGTCAGTGCAGAATTTTTCTATTCTGGGGTCCTGAGTTTTCTCTTCCCTTTAGAAATATCCCCATGGATTGACCAAAAATGGTGATAGACATTCTGAGAGTCCTTCTGTTGCACATCATAGCTCTTACTGACATTCCTACCCAGTTCAGAGACTGCAGAAATTTGAGATGTTTGCCCATCCCTGACTCAAGAAGTTCATTCACTCATGACAATAAAATATAAAGAGTTATATGAAGAAAAAGCTATTCATACTAAAATTCAAAAGAGGAGCTTTAGGTGGACATGGGTTCTATTTCAGGATGTACTGAATGGTTTGGAGAATTAAGACAATACAAATGTATTTAATGAGTAGAGTCTCTTTATATGAAACTTATAAATTTGGAGTCCTAATGGCTTAAATAATGATGAAGTGCTAGCAAAAAGAAGTTGCAATTTTTTTTTCTGTATTTTTAACCCCATTACATATTTTGTTGTTTCACTACAAGTCCTGAAAAAAATACTTTATGAGTATTTCATAAAGAAATGTCTTCAAGTGCATTTGGGTTTTGAACACCAAAATTTGAGCAGAGTGAAGGTGTGTTTCTAAGAGACTGTTTCTAAATGCTCATACTTAAAATAGTATTTTGACATAATGTCAAATAATCATAAAAATACATTGCAACTTACCACTGTACACCACCATGGACATAGACACCAGCAGAATTACAATCATTTTTTGTTTAATCCAAAGACAAGAAAAAAGTCACACAGCAGATTGGTGTGCCTGGTGAGTTAAGTAAAATATTAAACAGAATGTTATCTCTTCAATCTGGGAGTGGGAAGACACCATCTTGGGAAATCATTCCTTTGTAGCCTGGATATATTTCTGCCTGACAAAATTCAGTTTTTACCCTTATCATAGTAAATGTGCATATTACAGGAATGATGGGCCTTATATATCCTTATTTTAGCAATGTTGTCTAAAAGTCTGACTAACAATATTTATTTTGGTATTGCTTTGAGCCAACAGACTATGAAACTGCCATGTAGCAATAAAATGGTGCACTTGCAGTTTCTTTTGTTTTGCAAACAGTTTTCACATCTTCCTTCATCTCATACAATGTTCAAACAATTCTTATGTTTAAATGAAGATGTTGTGAAACACTGTGTAAATAAAGTTATTCTGATGTTGCATCTATGGAATTCAGTTTATCCACAATCCATTATATTTGTTTCATATCACAAAAACTTGTAGTCAAACATTTATTCTAATCTGTATTGAGACTCATCTAATATATCCTAATTTTTCCTAATGAGAGATATGGTGTTATTTGGAGATCTTCAAGAAATGGGTATAAAATATTCATCTAAATGTGTTGCACTAGTATTCATTAAATGGAAGATGATAGATTGGTTTTTAATTACAGTCACAAATTACTTTAAATTTAGAACAAGTAAGTCAGGCATAGGGCTTTTTACAGCCAAATAAATGAACATATATATATATATATATACACTCACACAAGCACATATATATCTCACTTTTCAAATATGTACCTGCTTATTATTATCTTCTTTTCTGAACTCAAATATGGAATTCATTTCTATTAGAAAATCTTGTAATATTTCATCAGGAAGTGAGATTATAAATCTAACAGCTCTAAATATTTATAGTCCATTTTCCCAAATCTCTTGCCTATATTTTTTGTCTATTTCTCCTAAGTCACAAATAGCTTATTCTACATTGTTTTCTTCTTGCTTCCCTTATTATAGACAACATCCAGAAAGACTTACCTTGAGGGATATTATCCCAAAGCAGCTGGATGGAAGACAAATGAATATCAGCAAAGCCAGTACTAACTTATTTATACCCACTTGGATATAGACCTCACCCATGTGATCCCTTCCTTTATCAAACCCACTTCAACATTTATTAATTAATTCCTCCATGAGATTCCTTGGAGTCATTATGCCCGCAGTGTATCTGGTAATATGGCTCCAGGCATGTAAAGGATCTATACCGAGAAGTCTGTTCTGCAGGTGCCTTCACCATATCATAACTTTCCCTAATACTCCTGGCTGTAATTAAATAACAGTCATCCCATTGTTATTAATCACTCACAAAATCTCTTGGGCATGTGAATGAGGCTTTAATGGCTTAGCAAGAGGTAGTGTTTGGTGATGAAAGACGAGTGAGAGTTTACACAGCTTTAAGCACTGGCATTCCTCAGGGCTGGAAACTCTTCTTTAATCTATCCACAGTGGCTCTGATCCAAGGCTGAGTGAAATGCAGGAGAAGGTAGGTTCAGTGAGCTTTGGGCCAGCTGCTTTTCATCAGGAAGGTGTGCTTTCTGCCAGGGCCAGACACAGCTACCCTTCAAGGAGTCCATCAACAGAGACAAACTGTCTCTGAACTGCAGCATGGAGAAGTGAGAAGTCTGACAATTGGAAATTGTAAAAAATACTTACATGAGCAAAAAGCCCTTTGACTCTATGACCTACAAGGTTTTCAGGAAGACCTTCACAGTCTCCTGTAAGATCTTCATGGAGAAGCTGCTGATATCTGAGCTGGATGTGCCTGGGGAGGTGGTTGAAAATGGGCTGATGGGGCCCCAAGTGGCACAAAGTCTGTTTGGAAGCCAGTGCCTGGTGGTGCATTCCAGCAGCCAGTGCTGGATCCAGCCCTGCTTATCATCTCCATGAATGACCTGGATGATGGGGCAGAATGGACCCTTGGCAGGCTGGCAGGTGACACTGAATGAGATGAGTGATTGGCATGTCAAAGGTCACGCTGCCATCCAGAAGGGCCTCAACAGGAACTCCATGAAGCTCAACAAAAGTGCCAAGTCCTGCACCTGGAGAGGTGCAGCCTCATACACCAATATGTGCTGGTGGCCGCTCATCTGGGAAGGAGCTCACTAAAAAAGGACCCTGGTCCTGCTGGACACAGGGTTGAACAGGAGTAAGAGGTGCACCCTTGCAGCAGAGAAGGCTCAGGATGTCCTCACTGGGCAAAGTGCTGCCTGCAGGTTGCAGGAGGGGGTTCTGCCCCTCTACTCTGCACTGGTGAGGCCACAGCTGCAGGGCTGTGTCCAGTTCTGTTTGTTATATCTTCGTAACAAGGTATGTACAGATATAGAGATATAAAGTGAAAATGTACTTACTGTGGGAGTAAGCAACTCTTTTGACTCTTTCGCAGACATAACTTGCATTTTTCACAAACCAGGAATAGTATTCAACACAGTATCTGAAGATGGAGTTAAAGATAAGAGGCTTCTTATCTTTCATAAGGAGAGGGACTTTGGACAAGGGGAGTGATAAAAAGAGGAGGAATGGCTTCAGGCTGAAAGAGGGCAGGTTCAGATTAAATATTAGGCAGAAATTCTTTACTGTGAGGGTGGTGAGACACTGGCAAAGGCTGCCCAGAGAAGCTGAGGATGCCCCATCCCTGGAAGTGTTCAAGGTCAGGTTGGATTGGGCTTGGAGCAACCTGGTCCAGTGGAAGGTGTCCCTGCCCATGGCAGCAGAGTTGGAACAAATGGACTTTAGATCCCTTCCAACTCAAACCAATCTATCATTCCATGATAAGCACAGTATATCATGCTGCTATTACTAAATATGGAAATAAAAAGCTAGATTCCAACCTCAGTGATGTCATTAGATGTTTGGAAAGATGCAGCTGGGCTTTTTTCACTTAGCTGGAATACTGAAGCCAGATCAGGTACTGATCAGTGCACTGGGACACATTTGGGTCTCAGCCAGTGGCCACAGACACTCCAAAATAATCGGTGATTGAAAATTGTTATTTGGGAAAAAAAGCCCAAAGGAGTATTTTAAGCAGACAGAGAAATTAAAAATAGTGCCAGGTTTTACCTCATGGCTTCCTTTCTGGAATATCTTCTCTGACCAACACAGAGGCACAGCTGAAAGAACCTACAGAGCTCCATCACACAGGGGTTGATCTTCTGCACTATGAGGGTGACAGGAGGCGAGGTCACACGGGGCTCTCTGAGCATGGCCTGGGGACACCCTGGGGACAAAACACAGCTCTGAACCAGCCCAAAGCCTTGTGCCACTACATTCCTTGCTCTGCCTTCTCTGGGCTATGAGCTCCAAAGCAATGTCTTCCCTGCTCCAACAAATAAGGGATATCCCTGAAATGCCACTCTGGGGTGGAAGGAAGGAAGGAAGGAAGGAAGGAAGGAAGGAATGTGAGGGCAGACATGGTGTGATTGTAAACTATACATGACAAGAGGTAATGGGCACAGACTGAGAGCTGCTCCAAGAGGGTGAGATCTCCTACGGCATGGCAGTACTGCGGCCATGTTATGGCACTTCTTGAACTTCCAGAAGTTCTTGTTGGCCCATTCCTTCAGCCTGTTGAGGTCCTTCTGGGTAGCAGCATGTCTTATTCCCAGCACATGCTCACTGTATGGACATTCCTATTTATTCCATTGGCCTAATTTTCAATATCTGCTGAAATTGGTACCACTCCAATCTATCCTGCTCTTTGACAAGACAGAAGTTCTTCTCCCACACTATTGAGCTCATCAGTGAAATATATTTTCGAAGAGAGCTACTGCATCCCCCCTCTCCCTGGGGTTAGCATTGCTTATATTGCCACTTTCCTCCTTGGCTTTGCCTTTGAACACCTTTCTTCAGTGAAACATCCACGTGCAGCAGCTATAGTGCAAATAAACTTCTTTTTTAAAAACACTATTAATGGCTCGATGACGTATTCTGGGTAGATGTAGCATAATATTGCTGCAACATAGAAAAATATGGGATATGCTATTGATTTGGTTATTCTTTCATTTTTTTTAGAACTGGTTTTTAGTTCACCAGACTTGCATATCAAGGAAATGAAAGCAGGGTTGGAAGGGGCCCTGAGAAAACTGATCTGGTGAGGTTGGAAGAAAATAATCTTTAAGGTCCCTTCCAACCCATTCTATAATTTCATGTTTCTAAGAATCCTGGTGAGCTCACACAAATACATCTCAAAGTACAAGAGATCCTTTTACTTCCTGGGTTGACACTGCACAACAGGAATTGCTAAAGTAATGGAAGTTTTTGATTTAGAAGATAATCTGCATGTGTTTAACACCAGAGAGTCCTTCTTGTCTTCAGTATTTCAGGTTGCTTTTAAATTACTTTGCATTTGTTAATTTTGATTACTATGTCTCAAATGTCAATAAAATAAATAGAAACTATTTGCATTTGCTAGCCAGCCATGTAAATATCCTTTATAAAATAAGATTTTTAAAAGACTTTCAATGTTTTTATTGGAGTTACATCGCTTGTATGAAATATCTCTCTTTTTTAGACATTATTTTTACAATGACTTGGAGGAGGAGACATTTCTAGGTAAACATCTGGTTAATAGCTTGTCTGATTTCAAATATTTACAAATAACATGTTACTTTCTGATTTTTACACTGAGAAATCAAAAAGAAAACTAAAACTGCCACCAGTCTTCCAACTTGCAGTAAAATTTCTCAGTGCTCTAAACTGATGTACAGATGTTTTTAAGGCATTTTTGCTTTAATGCTGGAAGAACACAAGAAAATATTAGTTAGAAGAGGTTTTACAAGAAAATATTAAAACATGAATGAAGGTAAAATAATTTGTTTAATGCTTTAAAAATTGTTATCAGATAAAAGAGCTATCTGATGAAAGACAGCAAATATTCTGTGGACATGCAGAAATCAAGGAAGGAAGGAAGGAAGGAAGGAATGTGAGGGCAGCCATGGTGTGATTGTAAACTATTTTTTCCATTTTTGTGTAAGTAGCAGCAGGCTTTGGCCATGTGTGGATAAACTACCTTACCTGAGTATAATCCCCTTAGACAGTGTAATTGCATTTCCAGGTTCACATGTCTCACACACTTTATAGCTCTGGGCAATGCTATGTTATGTGATAGCAGAGGTTATGAAGGTTAAATTTGGACTAATGAAGTTCTGTTGAAATAAGCTTGAGTCATCTAGTGCTGACAAGAAATTTAATATAAAATGGCATTCTTGGGCAGGAGAAAAATCAAGGCTCTACCAACCTGAAAGAGAAACTGGTTTCATTGCTAAGAAACTATTTCTCTCCTGGCAGTGCTTGACCAAGATAGCTGGAGTGTGTGAGGGGTAGGGCACAGACACTGACAGCTCCCAAACTCACAGGCTGCCCTGAAAACCAGCTGTGTCAAAGGCACTACACAGATATCAGGTGAAACTAGACAGAGATGGGCAAGAGAGACCCATTTCTCTTCATCCCAGCAATTTCACATAAATGTCATTAGGCTTTGTCCACTTAACAGCATTTGACACACCTTGATATTCTCCTACATGGAGTAAATGAAAAATTAATTATTCCTTGCTTAAGTAAACACACTTCATGTTAATAACCAAATATCAGAGAATGGGGCAATAAGGTTTTAATATAAGTTGTCCCTGAAAAGTAATGTTAAAATTTATGAGAAATAATGAAGTTGATGAATAACTAAAACTTGCTGAAGGCCACCCTCCTACGAATTTCAGCCTCTGCAGAAGTGGGTCCCCCTATCCTGCAACGAGGTATTAAATGCTTTACTCAAGCTATGTGTTTTACCAGCAGAAATTCAGTTTTATTTAGCTGCAAATTGAACATTGGCAATTTCAATTTGAAGTCATCTATGTGGAAAGAGAAGTCAAACAATAATGCTAAAAGCTAAGGAAATTGATTTGGTTTTCATTTTTGACAATCACTTTAAATTACCACTGTATTTGCATAATACTGTATTTGTTTGATGATTAAATTCATTTTCAATTAATTTTCTATTTAATTTTTTGATTGCATAGTATATTCACATAGTATCATTGAAATTTAATTTTTCACCCATTCATAGTAATGCTTTATACCTCTTCTGTAATAAATTTCTACTGTGAAATGTATTTTTTTGTGTTCAGTACATAAGTTCACAAAGATAAGAAAAAGTAGGAATTCATTTCTTTTCCAAAAGAAAACTTTCTTTTCTAAAAATTCTCTTTCTTAAGAAATTGAATTAGTCAAGGGACCAGAAAAGGCAAGAACCACAGCTCCTGTGCAGAGATTTCCTCCCATGTGTTTCAAATTGTCACATTATTGTCAAGAGCAGTGAAGTGACCAACTTTTGCAATAAACAGACAGTTCTTTTATTAATTCAATATCACATCCCTGTGACACTGAGATTAAATTTTGCTGCCAGTGAAGACCAGTGTTATGGTTACTGTGAAGGATTCAGACTCAATATATCCCTCCCTGCATGCTCTAACATGCACATTTGCATTCTTTATTAGTTGGCACCCACTTCTGTGATTCAAGAATTGAATTAGTGGAATCATAAGCCATCCCTCAGAACAATGTGGATGCCCTTTCTTACTTAGGGATCCCACTGTTGGATTTATTTCCCCAAATGTGTGATTGTTAGAATCAGGCAGGCAGCCAGTGACTCCATGGCTTCTCCCAGAGAGGCATTTGGTGACTCCAATTCAACCATCTCACTGAAATCCATGTTTTCCACCTTTTCAAAGCATCCTAGGTTCTCCAGGGTCTATGGTGCTGCACACCAGAGGAGGACTCTGGTATTTAGAGCTCTTTAAAGAGAAGCAAGATGAGAGAACACTAAATCTGATTTCAGAATTAAATAGCATTATAAGAGCTAAAAAGATGACCATGAAAACGAAAGTCATTTGCCCAGCATTTTAGTTCCTTAGACTCTTCTGGTTTTATCTAAAATATCAAGTTTAAAGGATATTGAAGACCCCTGGAGGCCAGGTGATATGTTATTTTTGCACTACCCAGCATCCCTGCTTCTCCTAGACAACCACCACACAGAAACACAAGCAGATGAGAACTGAGGCTTTCATGAAAATCTAGTTGATGGTGATCCTTCTTTAGCTGAGGAAGTAGTTTGCAGTATTGTAAATTCAGAACAGTTCTGGGGGTTTCATGTGGCATGAGCTGGTATCATAATTTTGTTTATGATGAGATTTAAAGCATGATATTTTCTTTTGGAACGACTTTTAAGAATGAATTCTGCAATAACCAATCAATGCTAAAATTGCCACACAGAATACCTATGTTAATTCTATCACCACAATATAATCTATATTTTGAATTTGCAGCTGTGTACAATTCACAAGCAAATGGGAAGCAGTCCCTTGGACATTTGGGGTGGTTTACATACATAAACTATCACAACCTAATTAACCATGTATATTTTTTCTGCATGGGAATGTTTCTATCTTGCATTACTTGCAAACACGCCGCAGTTTCTGCTGCATGAGGTGCATTTACTTACTGGTAGCTGAGTAAAGTTTCAGTGTCACACCAGGTCGGTAGGAGGGTGGCAGAGACAGTACTGTGGAAGGCAAATCTGAGGGGAGAGAAAAAAATAGAACTTGCTTTGACACCTTAACACAAAAAGGCAGGTTGATTCAAGGAGCAGCAGAGAAGAATAAAACCCTGAACTCACAGTTCATTAATAAACATTTAGACAATGACATTTATATAGACAGTGATGTATAAACACATTATCAGTCATCTATTTCTATATATTAATTTCTATTTCATGAATGTGCCAACTGACACACTTTGTTGCTATCCCAGACCAGTCTTACCTGGCTCTGTTTGCATCAGTTTGCTGGCTTCTTGTGGAGACACTGTCTGCATCCAAAACATGGACGTGCCAGCTGTGGGAACAGAGAGACACACCCTTCCTTTTATTCATTATTTATTTCTACTGAGAAGAACTGCTATGTATGAGACAGCTCAACAGCCAGAGTCCGTCACCCAGTACTGCCAGTACATGTAGAAATGCCAGGATGAAATGGGAAGGACAAAAGCTGTACTTGACTAGAACTTGAATAGCCTGTGGTCTAGGGAAGGGCACAGCATCAAGAAGGCAGAAGAAGCATTTCTACATTGCTTTTTCACAGGTCTGCTCACCAAATTTGGAGCTAAATGTGAGGGAAGATCCAAGTGGCAGAGGTGTTTGTGGGAAGCAAGATCAGGTTTTTCCCCTAAAGATAAGAAACTACAGGATGGAACCTATAGCTGATTTTGGCATTTCTGCAATAAAATAATCAGCTCACTGGTGCCCCAGAGTGGGTGTCCCTGAAGGGCTTTCCAACCTCCACTCAGAGACACTTGGCCAAACCCCAGAGCAGAGGGGTTGGCCGGGTCCCAGGGCTCCTGCCATACTCACCGGGGCTGGGCTGCAGGGCTGGCCATGGGGCCAAGCTCCCCCCGGGGCTCAGAGGGGGCCTGGCCATTCCTTGGGGCCTGGGAGCATCCACGTGGGGAGAGGGAAGCCACGACCCTTTGGCTCCAATTGTCTTTGGCCACAGCGGGGACTTCGTGGTGGGGATTCCCCCTCCTTTCTGGGCGAGAGGGATCCTGGTAGCTGGAGAAGCAAGAGAGACAGAGAAAGGGCACCAGCAACTGCAACACACTGGGGAGAATAATATCTAAAATACACCCAGAACATCCCATCTACCCTTTGACTGCTTTCTGGCACGTGAGCAGGCAATTCTCCATTTTGTTTTAAATATGGAAACACAGGGAGCTCCAATAATGTTTGAAATTTTAACCGAGGACATTTTAATGTGTGAGTTTTCATAAACAAAGAAACGGAAATGTTCCTGCAGGGCTTTGGTTTTTCCTGGACATATTTTGTGCTCAATTTCCTGAGTTGCTTCACTACAGTAGAAAGAGAAAGGTCTTGTCTGTTTGAAGGTGAGCAGGCAGGTACTGGAGGGCAGATGCTGCAGCTTGAGAATTGACACTTGTGGCTATGAGACATAACAAAGGTGGGCATGTGGTTTAGGAAATTAAAAAAAAAAAATTTATAAAGGACAGCAGACTGCCTGCAGGAAATGCAGGTATTTTGTAGGAGAGAGATGCAGCTGCAATGACAAGGAGGGATGAAGTCAAGGTCGGAATTTCTGTTGATTTCTACTACAAGCGAGCAGGAGCAAAGCCTTGCTTTTTGGCTTCCAAAATGGGGCAGAGCAGCAATTTTCTATCTTGTAGCCTTGTAGCAAAGTTAAATGTACTAAAGTTTATGAAATTCTCAAGTACAACTGAATGTCATATAAAGAAATAGATAAAGAATAATACAGAAAAAAGAACTCATGGAAGATAAGAGGAAATAGTTTAAATAATCTTATTTTTTTGTTGGAAACCAACAATCAGTTTTTCTCTTCTTCTCTGCCTCTTCAGAAAACTTATTTTTTCTGGTAAAATGGCTTTTCACAAGAGTTTCTCTATCTTCCAGTTCTTCAATATATTACTGGCATCATCTGCTGATTCAGAGAAATTTTATGCTACCCTTTATTTGGAGTTAACATCACCTGTCAAGTCATTAACCAAGGGGAACACAAATTTAGGTCTGACAACATTTGCTCACATTTATATGTCCACACATATTCTGCTGATGAATCCACTGTCTTGTTTGGGTCTTCCTGCAACTTCACAAAACTTGAGAAAATCGAATCTAGGTCTTGGAGGTATGAGAAGACAAGGTTAGAGCACTCACTATCCACTGCATATTGTGTGAGAAAAAGGAAAGAAATCAGATTCTGCTACCACAGAAGCAGCTGTTGTTTCTAGTTAAAGGGGGTTTTGGGCCAAGTGTCATCTCTTTTTTTTTTTTTTTTGTTTGGTTTTAAAAGGAGAGAAACATCCCACAGCTTTCAGCACAACTTGCCACTGACTTCAGTCTGCCTGCATTAATCTGTTCTTGAAAACGGGAGATAGTGATGGGCAACAGTGAAAGGTGAGCACCTGAAGTGCAGCTCAAACTGGCAAAGCAGATTTGGGTGGAGGAACCACACAGGGCAATGACTGAACGTATTCACCTCCACTCTGAATGTAACTCATGTAAATGTAGGAGGTCACTTGTGCTGAGAGCTATGGAAGGCACCCAGTCAGATTTAAGATCACTAGAGACCCTCGCCAGCCCAATGCTGAATTCTCTAAAAGTTCTCAGTCCAGCAGGTTTTGTTTGTTCCTCCACCAGAAGACCTTATAACAAATAATTTAAAGGTTTGGAAAATTTAATTACATTTATGATATAATTATTGCATTAAATTTTCAACAATATAAAATATTATTCTAACTATAATTAAATGCATTATAGTATGAAAATATATAAGCAAAAATAAAAAAATTAAAATAATATTTATAGTAGTGGTAATGAAGATGGAGTACTCATTGCAAGAGCTATCTGGACATGATTTTCACTCTGGTTCCTTTTGTTCCCCAGGATGTACTTACCCAGGTTGGATGATGTGTTACTGGAAAATGTGTAATTAATAACAGGAGACTTATCTAGTATTTCCAAAAAATCAGACAGATTTTTCCCTGCAAATAGAAATGCTTACAAATATGAAGAAATTCTTGTTTCCAGTATAAATCATCACTGAGGAAAACTAGGGCAATATTGTTGGGTGGAATGATTTTAATTTTTACCTGTCTGCCCTGCCATAACGCAGATGTAGATACAATCAGAGTCATTGCTCTGACGCACTGAAAGGCAAAAAACATAAAAGAGATCATTGTTACCAGTTTTCCTTACATAGAATTATCTTAAACAGTTGAAAAGACAAACAAAACATGGCATGTGGCTATGGCAGCTGACCAAGTATGTTCCTTCTGATCTAATTTTTGACAAAAATCTCAAAACACCATCAAATCCAAATGTTAGTATCTTCAGGGAAAAAGTTTCTATCTAATTCAAATTCTAAATTACAAGTATTTTTATGTGTAAAAAAATTTCAGATAAAATAGCCCATACTTATTCTCTGTGAATCAGAATTGCTCAAAATATCAGCATGTAATAATAATTCTCAAACCCACCAATTTTTAGTAATTAATTATAAAACATTCAAACAAAATAACGTAGAAACATGTACATCTCTATATTACACACATTCACATTGTACATGTACCTTGTTCCATGAGTTGCAAGAAAAATACTATTGAGTAAGGCTTTTATCCACATTTTTATGGTTGTTTTCATGCCAGGAGTAAATGAGACAGATAAGACAATGATAAATGTTCAAAGGAAATGCAAACCTGAGAGAATAGAAGTGGATTTGAAAATTTCTGTGAGATAACTGGTGGAGTTTCCAATTATATCAACAAGTAGAGCTGTAAAATCTAGACAACAAATAGAGAAAGTTTATTATTGAAAACACATATCCTATCATGTAGTCAAAAATTCACTTTCATATGTGATGATATTTAGGTATATGTTCATTTATGACAAAGTTTAAAATATTTTAAAGGCTAAAATATTTTGCTGGCGTGGACTGAAAAACTACAAGAATACTTTCAGAAGTATATTTCAAAGATGATATCAAAAATTACATCTGTGTGTCTAAAAGCAAACTTAAATGGAATTATCTGTTCAAGAGAACATTTTAAAGTAATGCTCTACTTAGTCTGCTGAAATGTAGGAGATCTAAAGCCTGCAGGCTTTGCCTGATGTAATTGCCTGTCTGCTGTGTAGGACCTTCCAATAGGCATTGGATTTTTTCCTCTGGGATCTGCTTCAGACATACTGATGATTCAGATGTAGCCCAGGAAATGGCTGGTGGTGTTTTAGTGGTACTTCCTAGCAGTAACAGGTCACTGTTTTCACTTAGGGAGTGCTGGACCTGAGCCCTGAATTTTTACTGCTTTGGAGAATGCTCCAATCCTCAAGATATTCTGGAATTGCAGCACAAAGATTAAAGTTTCTCTGTTCTTCTCCAAGGCAAACTGGGTAATTATCCATAAAGGCTTGTGAGATATGTGGATCCAGAGAAAGCCATGAAAGCCACTGGAGCTTTTGCAGGGTCACCACGTGTGGCACAGAGGGTGTGGAGTCTGGTCTGTAGCTGCTGATCTACTCTTGATGCCCTACACTGACCAGCTAAAGAATCCAAATATTCAGATGCATCCTGAAATGTTAAATTCTGTGAAATCAGGGGTGTGAGTGAGGATTTCAGGTGAAGGGTTTGCCCCACAGTATGTTGTAATCCATTCAGCAGTTCTGTGAAGATGTTAGTGCTTGCTTTTCACTTCTCTTGGGCTCATTGAGGTTACTGGAAGTTTCTCTGTTGGTGCAGAGAAGCCCCTGTTCATCTCCTCTGGGTTATCCCAGGAGAGAAAAGGTGGCCAAGGTGAGGTACCATATATTGCTGGCTGTCTCTCCTGTGCTGCAATTTGTATTTCCTAGGAGGAAAGGAGGGTTGTTGCCAGTCAAACCATGCCAGTCACTTGACTGATGGATGGCTCCATCCCAGACTGGCTGGATGGCTGCAGCCACCTGAGGCTGAGGCCGTGGAGTTACAGCAGCCACTCGTTGTGAGTTCTGGCTGTTGGCTCAGTCCGGTGGTGGCATTGTAAGGATGAAGTCTGCAGAATTCAGACTACAGCCTTCAGCTCCAAAGGAAATAATTCACCTTAAGCACATGCAATTGCCAACCTCTTTTGTGTACCCACCTGTCAAGTCATTTGTCACATTATTCAAACAGTAGCAGTAGTGCATAGGGAACTTGCCAGGGTCAATATTTTTTACATTAGAGACTGGAGGGAGAGACAGAGAAAAAAAAAATCAGTGTGTTGTGGCACAGGCTGTGGGAGAGAAACTGCTCCAGAGCCAAGCAAAGCCAACACTCACTGTTGTAAATGGTGACTGACACTTTGTGGAAGGCAAATGAGCTGTAAGAGGTGATGCTCAGCAAAGAGAAGAGTTTCTTGGTACCTGCAGAAACACAGGTCCACACTGTTAGTGCTGGGAACAAACAGTGAGAACAGCATGTTTTCACTCTGCTCATTTAGTGTCTAAAGGATTCCCAAGGTGCCAGTATGATACAGCTGCCTCACACTCAGTCCATTCTCATTCCACTGAAGGAAGGATCGTTTGCATTGCTTCTTCCTTTTTATTTTGTTTTTCTTTTAATTGAAATGTACACTGGATTAGAAAGTGCATTTGAAAGGTATCCCACAAGTAATTATATTTTCTATATATAAACCCAGACTAATTTCCAAGCTCTCTGGGGTAGACAGCCATCTGCATGATAAATGCACCAAGGTAACATGCTCCTATAAGCAATTCTGGAGGCCCACAGCACATGTTTACAGCTTCTCCTGCCAACACTCGTAGTGCCTTTTCTCTGCTCTGCTGGGTGGCAGCTGTGACCTGCCCAGCCCTGTCCCATTACCTCTGAGCGCAGTGCTCAGCATCCCGTTCACCAGCTCTGTCAGGTTAATGCCAGCCAGGTCCAGGGACTTTGCAGGCAGCTCTGAAAGGAAAGGGGTGCATGAAGGCACAAGGAAACAGCTGTGCATCCCCTGCTTGTGTGTGCTAGAAATGTGCCAGAACAGGAAAACCAAAATGAGCAGATTATGTATGTTTGGGGTGTACTAAAAAAACACTGATGGGAAATGAAATTCCAGGACCACGGAGATGAGTCTAGAAAATAGCAAGATACAGCAACAGTAGAGTGGTGGGCCAAAATTCAGGTTTGCCAGCTGTGCCCTTGACCGTGCCCTTGAGCAGCTGCAGGGCCCTGCCAGCCCTGGCATGCTGGTGCCCTCTCCTGCTGGGTGATGGGTGTTTGCTGCCAACAGAGGAGCAGATCTCACTACACAGGTCACAAAAGGCAGAGAAAGTGCCTAGAAAATGTTTCACCTTCCCCAAACTTACATGAAAATACAGATTTTTGTTTTCCAGCAACATTGATGGCTATACTGCTTGCTACAGAAGAATAATTTTGCTGTAGCCAAATCACACTTTTCATCTTAACATGTTTTATTTCTGTTGTTGTTGCTTATTTGTTTCTCCCAAGTCTTTTCAAAGACTTTTTTTGCTCCCCTCCCACAAAGTCATGCAGAAGCAGAGCAGTGCAGTGTCTGTGTGAGGGAGGAAGGTGTGTGTGAGCATGACAGAGAGAGGAAGAACAGAGCAGGATGGAAAAAGAAGCACAGAAAGCTGAGATGAGAACAAAATTGAATTTGGGGAGAAATGTAATTTTCCAGTGACATCAGTACTATTTATAACCAGTTTGAAGCCAAGCTGCACCCCAGGGCTGAAAGCAGCACTTGTCCACAGCACAGAAGAGAGAAAAGGAAAAACAAAAGGGAATGAAGAGCCGGGAAGGAGAGGAAGGCAAAAGAGAGGAGTAGATTTTGGGAAGGACAGTTGTTAACCTGGTCAGGACTGGACTGGGTGGGGTGGCCTTTCAGCAGGGCTGGGCTGGGGCTCACAGACCCTGCAGGAGCAGATCCCATCTGCTGCCACCTCCATGCCCAGCACAGCAGCTCCCACTCCCATTAACACCCTGGTGCTGGGGCTCCTCATGTGCTGCCTGTTACCTGCAGTAGCCAGCACTGCCAATTGCTTCTCTTTCTTATTTTCTTTTCTTAGACACGAAGCTGAAAAGTGAAGAAAGAGGCTGAGAAACAGTTTTCCCTGTTGAATTTTCCCCTCAATAATCAAAATAAAAATATAATAGCAAATATTTGTAGAGATCTTAAATAGCGTTACACTCGGAATTTGCTGCAAGGTACAGAGTAAAATAAGGCCAAATCCAAACAAATCTTCCCTTCTCTGTGCATATTTGTTATTTAGAGCAGCCATGCAATTGAGGATTGTCCTCAAGAGCTGTGTTGCAGGAGGAATGAGCTGAAACTGGGCTCAGGAGATTGGACTGGGTTTCTAGGATTCACTAAGTGACCAGCTGAGGTGCACAGCAGTAAATGAGGGATTGCAGGACAAGTTGAAGATATTGTTTGAGATTTAAGTTTCCTATCCCATCAGAGGAGATCTGAGTGTCTCCTAAGGGTAATCCAAAAGGCTCTCAAAAGGAGACAGTGCCAGGAAATGCAAATCTGTCATGTTCCTGTGAAGCTTCAGCTTTTCAACCCATCCAAGTTCCCCTTTATGTTCATAAAGGAGAAATATCCAGTGTATAATCCAAGGCTTATAAATTGTGATGTAGTGTTAATCAGCTGAATTAACAACCCTCAATTAGTCAGAGCTAAATCTGGATTGACAATCTAGGTGGTAGGAGCTCTTCTATAATCCTTCTCTCTCTCTCCTTATAAACCTTTCTGTTTCCAGATTCTTGGCATGGGATCCAGGAGCAGGTATCACAGGTCTGCTCTGCTGAGTGACACCAGCCCTGAGCTCCAGCCCGTCAGTGTTGCCTACATAGGGTGAAAGAACCAATCCTGCCACAGATGTGGGAATGGGGCTGTGGGAGCAGCTGGGAAAGAGGTACTGGGTTATTCCCTGGGGAGCACCAGAGCATTATCCTTACCTGTGCTGAAAACCAGAAAGAGACACAGAAATCCCAGGCTCCTCTTCGCTGCCCCATGCCAGCAGAGCCCCTGCATTATGGATGCTGACTTCCAGCAGGTTTGGCTGGTCTAGGAGAGAGAAATGCTCTTTTGGTGGCGTTAAAATTTTTAGCATTGAGCAATTTTGTCCAGCCCTTGTCCCAGAATTATTTGACCCCAGGAGAAATATCTGATTTCCATGATGCAGAGAAAGATTGGTGTTGGAAATGACAAAGGAGGAGAATCCCACAATCAGTATTTCCTCTGTGCCTGTGGGTGCTGTGAGTTTAGCACGTGCCTCTTGATTTTTGAGTCCTACCTAAGTGGCTTTTCTGGGGAATTGTCAACACAACCCTCTTCTCTGGCAGGATGAGCTGTGCCTGAAAGGCACCTGACACATCAAGTGCCTAAGGCCACTCTGTAAAAACAAGATAAAATTTGCTTAGGTTTAGTTTCAGACCAGAAATGTCAAATGAAGTTCTCTTCCACAGAAATCTTGCTTTTCTTATCATTCCTGGTTTTGTATTTCTGTAGTTACTACCACCAAGTTGTGTCCTGTGCTGCCTTGCCTACCTGCTTGGTAAGGATTAACAGTGTTCTGCCTCTCAGACCATGAGATCCTTTCCAGGTTTCAAAGATTTAATTAGATGGTTAGGGAGGGAGGAAAAAAAAGGATTTCTTTTCATGTTTCCCCTGTTTTTGCAATATCAGAACATGTTGAATAATTCTGTAGTTGTCAGAAAATGAGGGATATGATATGAAAACCAGCAAAAAAAAAAAAGTCCAAAATTTTTTAATATCCTCTTGGAGCAGCTAATCTTGCAAATATGCAGAAAAATATTATCTTGAAGATAATACTGTTTGATTAGAAAACTATCGTCATCATATTTAAAATATTTTCATCTTGAAGTCACCAGAGAATTAACAAATTCAAAAATGGCTTATTTGTATTTAGTGGCTCTAAAGAGACTCTTCCTTGGGATGGTGGAATAATACAAAATATTTCTGTGTTGGAAATGTCTGTGTTTGCTGGTCTGATGAGTCAAAAGTGTGTAAGTGCCAGCTCTGCTAATGCAAGCAAAGCTCTGAGAGCTTTCAAGCAGTTCATCCTACCTATTCAGCCCATCTGCCCAATCCTTTTTACTCAGACCCAAGCCTGGACTCATCCACAGTTTCTGCACAGCATGTGCAGAAGAAAAGAAACGAGGCAGAAATTGTTGGCCAAATCTCATTCCCAGACTTCATACTCCATCACCCTTCTATGGAGGAATTATGCATGGACAGAGTCCAGTATCCCATGGACAAGTCTAGCACCAAAAATCCTAAACCTGGCTTTTCTTGCAACAATATTCGGAATCTGGCAAACTGCTAGACCACAGACCACGAAAATGTTGCTGTCATGAAAATCCCAGGGCCTGACTCCCTGACAAGGTTATCCCCACTTCCACTCTCTGGTGTTATGAAGCCTCCTGGGATGTGTAACATTTTTGTTTGGTCGGTTGGTTTTTTTTGTGTTTTTTTTTTTTTTTTTTTTTTTAATGGCTCTGTGGACTCTGTACTTAGGGGAGAGCAGTGTGTTAGCTCAAGCCTGCTCACAGGTTGATGTGGTGGAAGCAGTGGAGGGATAGTCTGCATGGAGATAGTATAAAACCAATCCACATCTCTGGATTCTGATAAATTTTGTGTCGTCTTTGGTTTGGCTCAATGAAATAGAGAGGAGTTAGTGAGAGATGCTCCTCTGTGGAGCTAAGTATGAGGAAATGGTGCTTTGCAAAGCAGCAGGGAGGTGGCTGTTGGGGAGAGCAGCCTTTGGGAGGTGGAGAGTTGGGTGATTGTGTAAAGGGAGGTTTGTAACTACATGTGGTTTGGAGCAGGAGTCTGTGGTGGCTGGTGCATCTAGATAATCAAGTCCCTATTAAAGGGGAACTATTGGGCTGTGTCTTTGTTTGAGGTGAGAAGTGGGGTGATTTGCTGCTTTTAATAGAACTTCATGAATTTTGATTGTACTATGAGAAGCGTCACCTTAGCTCTGCAGAATCTGCATTAGGATGAGTTGTGCTTTGTGATGATGGTTCAGTGTTTATGGGCCACAGCCTCTCTGAGCAGGTTCCCCATGACCTGCTCCATGCACACAGGAGTGACCAGGCTGCAGAGCCACTGCTGCCCTGTGCACACCAACCCAAGGGACAGCAGCAGGAAACACAAACAAAAGTGTTGCCTCTGAGCTGTCCCTGAGGTGCAGGGCTGGTCAGCTGGAGGGTCCCTGCAGCCCTGACTGGTGAATGGCCCCACACCTCTGCCCTTCACAAGGATTTTGGCTGCATGGTGGGTGAAAGACCCAGAGCTAGGAGGTGGGAGAAGAGGGCATGCCCTGCCCCATTTTCAATCTGTCCCTACAGATCAATGGCCAGTGTTCATCCACCGTAAGGAAACTTGACTTCCAGGACCTGCTTTGAGGAATATGGGCTCTTCTGGGTCACCAGTGAATCACACTAACACTGAAATCCTTGGTAAGGGCATTTCACAGACTGATGTGAAAGCACAACTGTTTTACAAATCTTCATAAGTAAAAGGGTAGATAGGAGATAATTTCCTATCAGAGATCTAACTTAGTTCTGATTTATTTAAACTGGCCAGAGTTGTTCATGGCAGCAGGACAGGGGAAAATCATTTGACAGAGGATTTGATGTAGCAAGTAAGAGCAGGGTCTAGAGAGACCACATTCCTAAAAGACAAAGAGGCAAGAGGATTGACACATGAAGGCATCATCTATTTTAGGAGAGAGAGAAAAGCTGTAAAAATGCAAACAGAATAGAACAAGACAAATTGTGCTTGGAAGCATTCCCCACACACTGGGTGAAGCTTTCTTGCTCACCTGAATTCTCAGTTCCCTGCTGCCCTCCCCACTGGGTTGCTCCTCTCTGCTAACCAACACACGCAATTTTCAGTACTCATAGTGCTGATTTCCAGCAGGAATTTAGAGAAGGCATTAACCTGGCCACATCATACTACAGACCCAGCCAAGCAAAACATCTAACAATAGGTTCAACAGGAAAACATAACCTGGAAGGATGGATCACAGTAAGACAAATCCTGTTCTACTTCTACCAAAGAAATATTGAGTATTGTTGCTACAAAATCCTCCATTCATGAGAGTGCTTCTTTTGCCCAAATGCCATTTTTAGCACTGGTGTGTTCCCTGACCAGCACAAAATGCTTAAAAAGAAATTGCAAATAAATCTTAATACTAGAGGTATCAGTCCAAAATTGACTACCCTTGCTCCTTATTTGGTAGAGACTTAATTTAAATTTGAAGCTTTAGCTTGTAGTTGCTTCCCAAAATCTTTTTCCAGCATTAACTCTCTGAAATTTATGCTATCCAACTAAATTTCAAAACCATGTGTGACTACTATTCCTAGAGCTGTTGCCTGAAATAGCTTATCTCTCAGCAATGTGAATATTAGTAGTGTTAACTTTTGCAGTACACGCCACATTTGTGTTACTCTGGTTATTTAATATCCAATTTTTATTTATCAGAGACAATTCTTTATTACTTTGCAACTTTATCTCTGGAAGTGACTCCACTGTGATGACTGAAATACATGTCCAGGTTGCAAATATGAAATCCTCATTGTCCTCCAGACCAAAATCACCATTTCCATTTCAGACTATACTGAGATTCACAGGCACTGAAGGCACAGGAGCCTCACAGCCCCGAGCAGGCAGATAAATCCCATAAACTGACTCAGAGAAGGTTTCCTTCCAAACATTTGTCTGATAAAGGCTGAGGGTCAAGCCTTTGGTTACAAATTCTCCTTCACCTCTGCTGGTGTAACAATCCTCCTCTGTTTATTTTAAGCTGAATGATATTAGTAGAATCTATTTTATTTAGAGCTGTTGATCCAGAGTTCCCTGAACTGCTGAATTGGAGATTTTAATCCAGTTCAAATTACTTTTATACACTCATGAAGACCTCTTATTAAATCCCTCTCTGTTACTCTGGGTTAACAGCAATCTTAAACCAATGTGTTTATTAGTTATGCTTCAGTGGAACTCCTTTTAATGTGGCAGGTAATGATGAAGTTTGAATTGTTTTCATTTTTCCTGTACCAGCGTACTGCACTCCAATATCAAGCAGTTTCCTCATGTCTTCACGCTTAACAGAGCGGAACAGAAATCAAGAGAACAAAGAAATAAAAGAGGAAAGTCCTTGAGTATGAATTTCCTTACCTTCATTCAGTTGCAACATCTAAAGGTCATGTCTCATTTTAAGCACACCATCATCCACCGAGTCTAAAGAAATATTTCAAGTTAATTGAAAATATGCCTGTGTTACAACCGCACGCTTCATTACATTGACACAATTACTTTTTAAGTTCAGATTTGTGTGAGAATGAAATATAATGCAATAAATATACATTTAATAAAAAAATAATTTCATTTGCTACATTCCCACTGAGCATTAATAGCACAGCTGAAATGGTTTCCTCCAAGTACAAGCAAAACCACCAAGATCTGGAATAGTTAATATCAACTTACCTGATTTCTCATGACAAAAATTATTATCTTCAGAGCCTATATAACACTGGAAGTTATTGCCAGTTCTTAATAAACACTTTGTGAAAAACTTGAGTAGACAGGCTTGATAATATTTCCTTAAAATCCTGTGAAAATTGTTATCCTAATCCCTGAAGGACTAACCAGAGGTAACACAATCGTAAGCACACAAAGTGCCTGTTGAATCCCGTATGGAAAGGCTCTGTGGCAGGTCAGGTGGGGATTGGAAGCTCCTTTTGGCAGTAGAATTGAATTGTGGAGGATTTTTTTTTTCCCTTTTAAAGGAACAGCTCAGCTTACTGCAATTAGACCCATGCCACCTTTGATGGGGAGAAGTAGGCAAGGGTGAGTCCCTCTGGTAAAGCTTTAGCCATCCTTCCGTTCAAACAAGGGACATTGTCAAGAGGGCAGAGATGACACCTGAAGTGTTTCTTAAGTGTGGAACCTCAAAAGGAATAAAATGTGAGTTACAACAGGAAAAGTTGCCTGGAATCCTGGTTAAGTGGTGAGGAAGGAAGAGAGGTCTGGTCAGAGCAATGACATAAGGTAATTTCAGTGCTGCTGAGTGATGTTTAGTAGCATCCAAGGGAAGATCACTGCTGGAAACAGTCAGCAAAATTCTGCTACCATTTACTCCAGCAGCCTGGAAATAATTGCTCTGAAATCAGTGAGTTTAGATGCAGCATGGTTAAAAGCCAGTGATCATCCATTCAGTAATTTTATCACCGAACGTTTCAACTTGTGAAACCACTCAAAACATTGTAGCAATTAATAGGAGAAATTTAAGTGGGTTCACAGTCCGTTTATGAAACAAAAAGTGCTTTAGCAACCATTTTATGTGTGTGGTTGAGCTGTGTCTCTGTCTGTCTAGCAATCCTGCCTTAAACAAGAACTTCAGATGCTGCAAGGCAACTGCAGCCACATTTAACAGAGCGGTAGCTGGTCTGTAAGATGCCCACACATCTGTGCACATACATGCACAGTTTTCCCTTGTTTTCATTCACTCTGCTTTTCACAAAAAACCATTATGCGGTGAGGTGTCACTGCATCTAGTATTATTTAATTCTATATGGAATTTACTGCTCTGAAAAAAGGAAAATTTTTGAGACTTGTGACTGAATGCTGCAGCTGGGGGAATATGGAAGCACCTTTTCTTTGACAAGACTTACTTTTACTGACTTAATTACCAGTTGCTCAATAGCACATCAAGAAGGCTGGGATGAAAGTCCTCTCTGTAACAGCTGACAAAACCAGGTATAGCCAGGAAAATGTGTGTGCTGGGATCAGTTCCAGCCGTTTGATGTTTGCCTGTGAGGATAATTAGACTTTCAGCAGGTTTTGCCTCATGCTGTGTTTTACCCTGGGACTCTGTAATTTTAACTTTCCTCAGCTGCTGATCAATGCTCAGGTGACCTGGGAGGGGGCTTTTGTTCAGCCCCAACTTTGACTCTTGGGGACAATGCTGTGTTCTCACTCAGAACATCCCTCTGAGCAAGTAGCTTTCTCAGGAGTATAGTCTTTACATGCCTCCTTTTTCCAGCATCCCTTTGTGTGGCAGCACTGTGTCCATAACCAGCATCCCAAAATCCAGAACAGGAAAGGAAGACATTTTTAGTGTCTCAGTAACACAGTATAGACACACAATTCATATAAATTACCTAGTAAATGCATCCATTTGCTGAAGGTTGCACAGGGTAAGGCCCTGCTAATGCAATTTAAATAAAGAGAAATTCAAGGAAATGCCTGTGATTTATCTGTAAGAGACAGTGGTGTGACATTCTGGTAGGGAGGGAGAAAATGTAGTCTGGCTGTTGAAGCTCTATCTCTTTGTGGGCTGAGAGCACAGAGTGAAAGCAAAGCACTGCTTCTTCCTTCTGGCTTTTTCTCAGGCCTTTAGATGTGATGAAAAGCACACATTTCTCTGCAGAAATTGCAATATGTGTAAGTGACTGCAGGAGCTGCAGCCATACCCTCCTGTGACCTCAGCCAGTGGCACGAACAATGTCCCCTCCCACCTGCTCTGTCCTGGCGTGGCAGTGCCCTCGGGTCTGGCCACCCTCCAGCCTGGCTGGGCTGTGAACCATCTCTGCCCTAAAAGATGAGCTGTGCCACCTGAAGCTCTGTAGCACCTGAAACACCTTGAAAAACTGTCTGATTTACCTGGTTAGAAAACACAAATCCAGCTGTGTTCTCTCTCACCAGATGCTGATGTGCAAGACAGAAGGAAATCCTGGTTTCAAATAGAGTGCAAAGAAGCAAACTTCACCCAAGTTTACTCAAGGGCATTGAAGTTTTATTTTCAGTTACACTTCATTTTACTGTGGCAAATATTTCCATGAAAGCATCTTTGAGTGGTTGTTAAATAAATTTTGTTTAGAAAAGTATCGAGTAAATTTCATTTGTTCCAAAAAAACTGATTGCACTTCAACATTTCTCTGTTAGTCCTCTACCATTACAATTTTACAAGATATTTAGTTTATTTTATTAAGAAATGTACTAGCTCTATAAAATTTTAATTTCAGATTTTACTAATATCCTTCTATTACATTTATTTTTGGCACAAGTTTTATTATGGATAATTCTCTAAATACATTACTGTTTCTTTGTCAGTCTTTTTTCAGAAGAACAACATTTCATCTCCTAAAAAAAAATTATATAAAGAAACAGAGAATTATTATATCTGGAAAAGACCTCTAAGATCATTCAGTCCAACCATTAGCTCAGCACTGCCAAGTCCCCCACTAAACCACATCCCTAAGTGTCACATCTACACGTTTTTTTACAAACCTCTGGGGATGGTGATTCCCTGGACACTTTCTGGACAGCCTGTTCCAGTGCTTGAAAACCCTTCCATTGAAGAAATTGTTCCTAATATCCAATCTAAACCTCCCCTGGCACAGCTGGAGACTGTTTCCTCTTGTCCTGTCTCCAGTTACCTGGGAGAAGAGACTGACCCCCACCTGAGTACAGCCTCCTGTCAGGCAGCTGTAGAGAGTGACAAGGTCTCTCCTGATTCTCCTTTTCTCCAGGCTGAACAGCCCCAGCTCTCTCAGCTGCTCCTCACACTTGTGCTCCAGACCCTTCCCCAGCATTGTTGTTCTTCTCTGAGCACAGTCCAGCCCCTCAGTGTCTTTCCTGCAGTGAGGGGCCCAGAACTGAGCACAGGATTTGAGCTGTGGCCTCACCAGGGCTGAGCAGAGGGACAATCACTGCCCCGGCCCTGCTGGCCACACTACTGCTGTCACAGGCCATGTTCCACTGGCCTTCTTGCCCACCTGGGCACACTCTGGCTCATGTTCAGCTGCTGTCAACCTACACCCCAGAGCCTTTCTCATGGGAGCTTTTCAGTCACTCAGCCCCCAGCCTGGAGCACTGCAGGGGTTTGTTGTGACTCCAGTGCAGAACCAAGCACTTTGCTTTGTAGAACCCCAAATATACAGTTATATATATAAACATGTATTTTTTCCCCTTCATTGAATTTCCTTCCCATTTCAGAACATGTATTTTGAACTGAAAATAGTTTCTGTCCTTTATATAATTTTTTCTTTAATTTTTATTATCAGTGTTTTGCTAAGATTGGTACTAACACCACAAAACTTCCTGAACAGAATGTGCATTAAACTCTACAAACTGTTCTCAATAAGAGTGTTTTGTATATTTACTAGTCTAAAGTAGGAAGCACTTTCTTTTGAAGCATCTGATATTGTGAAACTTTTTTGGGATTCAAGTATGCTCTTGAGGGAGTAAAAGAAGAGAAAGTAAAAAAAAAGGGGCCATGGAGATCATGAAAATGTGTAGTGGTGAGACACAGGCGTAGTGGTTTTCTTATCTGTGTGTGAGCTACAATAGATGAGATTTTTACACAATATTATGCACTGCTCCTTGAGGTTTTCCAAAGATGTTAGCTTGTGATCAAGCACTTGGCATTTTTAAACATAGATCCTCATAAAGCCTTGATTAGATACCAAGAAATTTCAACAGTCCAGAACTCAGAAAAAAATTAATGACTTATCCAAGGATTTTATTTCTGATAGGATGTGTGTCAGAGATGTAACTGATCCCATCATGTCTGCCAAAACGTTCATAGCACATATTACACCTTTTTTCATGATCTCTGCTCTGTATTCTGCTGTCCATATGCACCAGACACAAAGAAGCAGGAGAAAAGCTGTGGTGCTGTCCCAAACCCACTGGGCTGACAGCCATTGTCCTAGAGAAATTTCGTTAAATAATGTCTAGCTCCCCTGCTGCTCTCTGCCATGAGATTTGGCTTTCCTGATTCCATCCCTTCTCTGTGTTCCAAGAGGATGCTGTGTTAGTCAAGCAACTGCTTTACCCTGGCAAGACTTAAAAATCAAAGCATCCTGCAAAGAAACAAAAGGGTACACTGAGAAAATTCCCCTCCTGACACTGTTTCTTGATTGACACTCTTTCAATTTTACCCTTTCTAAACTGCTGACCCTAAGTCTTATTCTGCTTAGGTGGGGGAAAATTGTGTAGGATCCCCAAAGTCCCATACAGAGGTAAGCAGAGGCTGCACCCCTGGATACAAGCAGGGCTTTGCCTGAGAATAGGTGTCACACCTTCTTCCCATTTTAGAGTCCATTTCTTAAAAGATCAGACTTAATGCTTTACTGAAATCCAGTGATTTGTCAGGTTCTGGTGTTTGGGTGACAGCCAAAGGGAAATTTTAATGCAACACCTTTCAGTGCAGGTGCTGACCTGCCTTCAAAGCCTTCACAGCTGAGTGGTTCCCCTGCTGTGTCTGTGAAATGCCCACGTAAATGCCATTGCTGTGCCTGGCAGCTGCAGGGCTCAGCTCAAGCCCTTCAATGAAGGCTGGGACATTCAGGGCTGAGGCAGTGATGATAATGCAGGGTAGAGCTGTCTATAAAAGTGAAAAACCCCTGAACCCCAAAAGATTCAGAATTCCACATTCTGGTACATTAGTTTTGAAAACCACAAACTGTCAGTCTTTGGAAAGAATAGAACTTGGTTGTAAGAGTCTGATATTCACCCTATTTCTTATTTAGTTACTACTTTTATTTGAATTGAATAATTTAAAACAAACAGATTCAAAAGCACAACAACTTAATGCTGCAGTACTAAAGGATCTTTTAATTATTCCACTTTACAGTGGTTTAGAAGTAAGATAAGACATGGCATAAATGTTGAATATTTTTTTACCTACCACAAAAAATTTTAAAAATCTTATTTTGGGTTGTATTTTAAGTGCTCAGCAGAGCTCATTCCTTGGTGACAGCCATGATACTGAAGCCACAAAGAATGCCTTAAAATACCTCTCTGTGTCCAGCTAAATTTTTGGGAAGAGTTGATGTTTCATGAGTTTCTCTTCCTGTCTCATTCAGACACAAAACCACACAGAAATGAAGCAACAGAACCAGGGGCGGAATTCAAGCAAATTCCCTGCAAGGGATATTCTGATCTTGCTTGTACCATTACTGTGTTCTCTCTATATTTTGTTTGCAATTTCATAATATTTTAGCATGTTATGTTTCCAATATTAATGGATTTTCTCCCACTTTTCATTTTCCCCCTCACAGATGCTCAAAGCCATATAAATTGCATGGCCACTAAATCAAAAGATGCCACAAATAATGGGATCTACTGTGTGTTGATAGCTGAGGCAGTGATGATAATGCAGGGTAGAGCTGTCTATAAAAGTGAAAAACCCCTGAACCCCAAAAGATTCAGAATTCCACATTCTGGTACATTAGTTTTGAAAACCACAAACTGTCAGTCTTTGGAAAGAATAGAACTTGGTTGTAAGAGTCTGATATTCACCCTATTTCTTATTTAGTTACTACTTTTATTTGAATTGAATAATTTAAAACAAACAAATAGACTCAAAAGCACAACAACTTAATGCTGCAGTACTAAAGGATCTTTTAATTATTCTACTTTACAGTGGTTTAGAAGTGGGATAAGACATGGCATAAATGTTGAATATTTTTTTACCTACCACAAAAAATTTTAAAAATCTTATTTTGGGTTGTATTTTAAGTGCTCAGCAGAGCTCATTCCTTGGTGACAGCCATGATACTGAAGCCACAAAGAATGCCTTAAAATACCTCTCTGTGTCCAGCTAAATTTTTGGGAAGAGTTGATGTTTCATGAGTTTCTCTTCCTGTCTCATTCAGACACAAAACCACACAGAAATGAAGCAACAGAACCAGGGGCGGAATTCAAGCAAATTCCCTGCAAGGGATATTCTGATCTTGCTTGTACCATTACTGTGTTCTCTCTATATTTTGTTTGCAATTTCATAATATTTTAGCACGTTATCTTTCCAATATTAATGGATTTTCTCCCACTTTTCATTTTCCCCCTCACAGATGCTCAAAGCCATATAAATTGCATGGCCACTAAATCAAAAGATGCCACAAATAATGGGATCTACTGTGTGTTGATAGGGCTGGCTGTGGAAGCCACATAAAACCTGCTCAGTTTAGTCCTGCCTAGATGAAGTCAAAAGGGTCTTTGCCAATGTCTCTCCTGGGGGTACACTTGACAATGTATTCTTTGAATATATGTGAAGATATTAAGATTTAAATGAAAATAAATTCATCCACATCATAATTGAAATTTCTATTTATTAATAAGTGGTGCAGTTTTTAAAGACAGAACATAAAAAAATCAGTTAAGAAGTATTGTTTGCATAATATATTGAAATAAACATATTAAATTTGTTCAAATATTGGACAGTGCCAGAATAGAAATTACACATACAGTTTAAAAATTACAATAAATAATATTATAAAGAGCACTAAAGGCCACTTGTATAAAAGTTGTGTTCCCTTGTCAGCCAGAATCTGAAAAGCATCTTTGTAGCATGGAGAAGATTTCAGTGAGCAAGGCACAAATACTAGTAATAATAAGATGCCATAACTAGAAAACAAAATGCAGTTGGCTATGTAAGCTTCAGTCTCAGTGTGTTCTTCATGATGGAAACAGGAGCCCATTTTCACTATTTTGCTTCAGTTAACTTCAGAGGGAAGCTACTCAAAGCTGAATTGGGAAAGATCAAATCTTACAGCCTAAAAAACCAGAAGGAATTTAATAC